AAATAACACAGTTTGCTAAAAAATTAAAATTATATAAAAACTACAATGAACACAATACAAACTAAAACGAAGAAGAAATGCAGGTAAAAATCAGCTTTGTTTTCCCCCCCCAGCATCTCTATTTGCACTCTGGTCACAATGTACATGCCGACAGGAAGCAAAGACCATTGTCCGCCATATTGGTGCATCTCTCGTCTGGTCGAGGTGTGCCTGCGCACCGTTTTTCCACGTTCATCAAGGTTGAAGGTGCCATTTCCGGCTGAACTAACAACAGTGTTCACGACAAAGGTAAAGGATTCTTTATGATTCCAAAAGGAGCTTAGGCACCATTGGGTCATGTGCCAGTGAGGAGCTCAGAGCACATCTTCCGGCAACCGTGATCCAGAGAGGAGAGATTAAGTTTTATCTAGTGGCTGCCACCGCACGTTTTCTCCATTCCCTCAGTCTTACAGTCACACATAAATGTGGCCGATTGCCATACTTTAATAATTCTAAGAATAATTTCTCACTCTCTAACCACTGCTCCCCTAGTGGTCTTCCTTGGAAGACACCCAGGCAGACTTAATTTCTTGCATCAATAACCCGGGTTCTTCATAGATATAAAAACATGATGGTGTTACGGGAAAGAAGGGAGGGGTTTGGAAGGGAACGTTAGGGCATGAAAACAAAATACTTCACACTTTCACCTTAGCTGTTTCACGGTGAAAGTATGCAAGTCACTTCCAGAGCGGTATCAATACATGGTACTGAAAACAAAATAAAAACTTATCTAAAACTAGAAATGATCATGAAATGGAAATGAATCTAAAACTATTAGTACATTCTTCAAAGAAACTGAACTAAAATTGAAAAACAAAATGGAGAAGTGAAGTAAAAAAATAATTAACGTAAATTTGAAAACTATGACAACAGTTTATACGCGTCCTCAATCAATCACAGCACATCTATTTAAAAAAGCAATTTCATTCATATGTATAGACTTATATTCCACATTCCTGCTCTGTTAATTTCTTCTTTGCTGTCGGTGAGCTTCACGCATGTTCTCTCTCCCTCAGTCAAATCTAACTCAACATACGCAGGGTTGCCGGCGCATACATGTTAAAAAGGGGGATTAAAACATTCTACATATGGCACAGAGCCTGCTCTCACTCTCCCATCTGTGTCCCAGAGGTCAGTCCCCAGTACACATATCTAAGCAGCCAAACCCGGGAGCTGGCAGGACATGGAGCGGGACACAACAGGACCCGCTTAATGCTGCTTAAAGCTCGCCTCATCTGGCAACCCATCTGAACAGCCAGGAGGTCGCGATCAATCCTGGACCTTCGTAGGGCCAGCTCAGTAGTCTGTCAGTAACTGCAAACTATAACTATTTTAATATTTTTTTTTCTGAATAGCTAGACAGTGTTCAGTGACACGAGGAAAAGTTCCAAAACAGAAAGGTACCCTGCTCAAAGGCCCCATTTCATGAAATTATGATGCAGCCCCCCCCCAAAAGCTGAACAGGACGGTTTTCCCCCACGTCTGCTGCCCATCACTCCCATCCCGCGTAAAAAGGCCAGGCCCGGAGTTCCGGGGGCTCATTAATCATCCTTCACAGGACAGGAGGCCCCTTAATCCCACCCCAAGCCCCAACCCCCAACACTTAATGGCACCGCCCTCTTCCCCGACCCCTATCCCCTGTAGCGTTATCAAGTTTCAGTGGCGGTGACTGTAGCACAAGCCAGAGATGAGTGGGGGGGAGGGGGGGGAGCGGACATGACAGAGAACATTGCCGCTTCCCAGTGCCAACTACCCCGAATGGCAGCTTGTAAATTTCTGCATCCCTAAACCCTACGGCGGTATACACTCCGCGTACCACGGAGGAGAGGTTGTGACCACATGTTTGAAAAGCATGCTCGTTATTTTTATGATGGCGGGGGCAATACAGCAGAGGGGTGAGCCTGGAGACCTTCTGCCAGAAGTAACGGGAGTGTGAGATCAGCAGGTGGTCCGATCGCCACGCTGCAGAGCACGAGTCCAGCGAAGACACTCACAGAAACAGGAATTAATGCAATAAAAATGTCTAAACAATGTCAAAAAAAAAAAAAATGGAAGGGCGGCTATAAAATGGGTCAAAGGAGGAACCTTAAAAAAGTGAAGTTTGAAAAACATGCAAGCAAATCTAGGAATGAAAAAGCGGTGGAAATTACTGATCTGTGGGTTTGATCCTTTGACTGAATATATGATGTGAATTTGATACGTCAGGTTTTTTCATGTCACTACGGCAATGAAAAGGACCATTTCCCCATGCATGTCGCCAAGCGGTGCTGCAGGTCTCCAACATGCCTGCTGTTCCCACGACTTTCCCACCACAAACCTGGATCGATTAGCGCAACTAGCAAAACTTAGCTTTGTATGCGTGAGAGGGGAAGTTAGCCAACTGCTGCAGCAGAAAGTGCCTGCTATACAATACAAAGTGTGTAAGTGTTCAAGATGGCGTCTCTGAAGCATCTGGACAGAGCAGATCGTCGTGACCATGAGGGACACCACCAGCCGGACATCTCCCTCTGCTCGCGAGTCCCGATCCACCAGGCAGCACAGCACGCTCAGCGTCCATCAAAAGCGAGGTCATTAATCATGGCCGGTGAGCGGCAGTGACAGCCAATCAGACGTTATGCAGGGGTTTCCCCCATCCATGGGAGTAAAGTGTCGGCGGTCTCGCTTTACCACCCCCACCAATGGCAGCCCCCCCCCAGCTGCCTGAAGAGGGGGAGCCGGCCAACACAAACACACACCCATCTGCTTAATTCAAACCTTTCACACGGGGATTTTAATGGTTTCATAAAGCCCTGTCAATCAAATCCTTCCAGACTTTTCTACAAGTTGTCCATCGGCCTCAGCACCTGAGAATAGTAGGTATAATTAGGATTTTTTTTTTTTAATTTTGCAGTACAACAAACAAACACTCAACTTCTACGGTTTCAGCTCCGCCTTCCAACAGACCACGACCAACTCATCTAATGAAACGGAAGAAAAGAAAAAAAAAACGAAACGGAACGGGGGACATCACAGTGTTTAGAGCAGCAGCCCACGAGGCAAACCGACATGTTTACATAGCTATACCGGGTAACCACGACGACGACGGCCAATGATGATAATTACTATGATAATAAGGCAGAGCAGTGCACGGCTCCCCTCACAGCCAGGATGGAAAAACAGCGCAAAGACGCTCCTGTGATTAAAGCCGTAGAGAGAGACCCCAGAGGTCAGCCAAAAGGCATTTAGGAGGAGAAAACACGGGGGAGGGGGGTCGAGGCAGTACACAGCTTAACAGCCATATTTAACTGATTTTACAGCCCCCAACACCACACCCCAGCTCTCCATTTTTCTGTTGCAGACACAACTTGTGTAGAAATGTCTCTTCTCTTTTTAGGGAAGTTTATTAAGACGTATTGACAGGCCAAAAATAGAGAATTTAAAAAAAAATAAACATGAGCAGCAGTGGGTCTGTATTGAGTAAATGTATTATGATGCGTATCAAGACAATCCAACGAATTCTAACCAATGGGCATCCGGGTATCGTCCCGGAAGTGAGGCCGTGAGTCAATCTGGGCGCCTCTCGATCATTACGGGGGGGGGAGGTCAAATACACTGTGTGACATAAGGCACAATGTCACACACGTTTAGCTACAGCTCCATAGTGGCAGTGCGACCGGGTTAGTAAGTCAACGGATGACTAATTTTTAAATGCAATGGCAATGGGATTGTGATGGAGCGTGCGGGGCTGCAGAACCTAACCCTAACCCTAACCCTGAAGCTGAGCTTTGAATACCAGCCTCTGTGGGCCCCCAGCAGCCAGATCATTTATCAGGTTTTCTCCCCCAGCTTTTGGTTTTAGTCGCGGCTCCACTCTAGAGTCACGTGACCTGCCCTTTTGACCCGAGAACTGCAGTGACTGTAAACAGTGAGCCGCAGACCTTGGAAAGAGGAGAAAAGGCCTCTCGTGAAACACACCCGACTGAATTGCCACTGCGTCAAATAAGAGGAAATCTAGCCGTACCAAGCTAAGCGAAATGATCACTGGCGGCAGTTGAGATTCACAGGACCAGCCCTGCTTCTTGAGGAGGGTGGTGCTGCTAGATGACAATACAGATCAATAAATCATCCAACCCGGCTCCTGCAACACATCCTGCCATAACAGATCAAGCTATGCTCCTTGCCAACAGTCTTTAATGCTGACATGTTGCCACTCAACAAGGTCCCATAATAAAACCTGAGAGCATGAGGCATAAAGCAAAATCGCCAGGAAAGACAAGGAATCACAACTGTCATGTGACCAGAGCGAATGGTCCCGTCTTACAGCAAGTTAACGAGTATCAGGTTATGGTGGAGCAGAACCGGCTCCAGCGACTCTGCCCTGATGTACCAGACGGCCTTGATCCAGCAGTCTGTGGTACGAGCCCAATCACAACTGCTGGTTTGAACCTGCTTACTGAGACTTGAGGCATTCCTGCCCCTATATCCCTCCCCCATTAGAGCCCCGCCCCTTTGAGTTTCTCTGACATCATGCCGACAGGGAGACAGGCGATACACGGAGGGTGCTAGGTAAACACAGGTTCACAGAGTGCTGTGCGAGGAAAAGCGGTTCCTGCCGAGATGTGAAGATAGATAACAGCATCCTAAGAAAATGATATCGTCAAAGTGGGGGGCTGGGGGCTCTGCGGGGTTTTGGAGGGTCTTACCGCTACATGGATTAAATTAGCAGTCCATTCTGGTTGCGGCTTATGTCACCTGCTTCTTACTGCTTTCAATAACATCATTATTTAGCCAGTTTGCCGATTAAGATGTGTCACCTGGGCAACTATTGACTTAAAACCAGCTGCACCGTCCCTATAATCAGGAATCCATTTGCAAACACACGACACACCCAGAGTGGAAGTAGAGTGTGGATCAGCGTTACAAAAGACTGAGAAACCCTACTGACCCATGGGTGCCGTGCAGGATGGGCGGCTAAGCCTCACCTCTCTTTTGCATGTAGGCAAACAGGTCGTCCAGGAACTCTTTGCGATTGGGGTCGTTGTCCAACTCGTAAAGCTGTGGAGAAAAACAACAGAGGTCGGCACAAGCTACGCTACTGGTGGACGTTCATTTGGATGATAGAATCATACATTAGACACTTCCATTCATATACAAGACGTGGGAGGAGAACTTATGGTGGAGAACTTTGACAAGCATGCAGAAGTAGACTAAAGCGACTGGCTGGAATGAGTGATTTTTATATTTAAATTCATTGAGCATCTGAACTTCACTGGTGGTTACGCCAAATCCACCCACTATCCACAACATGTGCTTCAGAAGCTTAGGATGCTGTGCTAGTGATTGGAAGGTTGCAGGTTCAAATCCCAGGGTCAGCACAGTGCTTTCACCATCGGGCCTATGAGCAAGGCCCTTGACTCCCAATGTCTCCAGTCTGACTTTGCTCTCTCAGCTGTATGTCTCTTTGCATAAAAGCATCTGCTAAACAAATTTGTAGTATGTTATATTTGCTCACTTTGGCAAAGTCTCTGGATGCCTCTCCTCTTCCTCTCCCACCGTCAGCTTCATCGGCCCAGGTAGTGCTGCCATTCTGCGTAGAGAGAGTGCGGACAGTCAGAGCTGGGAGGCAGATGCGTGCGTGCAGATGGAACATTCCAGAAGCTTTGCGGATGACATTCCTACAGCCCCTCCCCCCCACACCATGTCGACCACTCTTGCCTGGCCCCATCCACCGTTGCCTTGCACTTCTTTTGTATCCCCTTCCCATCCCAGCGATGTTTCAGGGAGGTGGGGGCCGGTTGACACGCCACACGTGTTATAGGTGCTGACAAATGAGCACCAGCACACAGTATGTGCAGGGCAGGCGGGCAGGGCAGGCGGGCAGGGCGATGCCCGTCAAAACAGAGCGGAAACCATGTGGAATGAAGACAAGCCAAAGCCTTACAGCAGCATGACTTCCCCAGCAGTGACGACTCGATCTGACCATCTCTACCCAACTGACCCCAACGACTTCGAGGTACAAATCGATCAGAGCTGGATCATTCCCTTATGTTACAGGCAAAGAAAGCAGACCAGTAAGACCAGGAATTCATTGATTTGTGGCAAAAAGCCTTTAAAAAACATTTTAAAGAAATTTCAACAAGGCGGTTCTATAAAATCCATTACAGCATCCATTTGCATGGCGACGGATCTGAAGTACTTCACGGAATGGTTCTGACATCCCATCACAAATGATCCTAAATGGAGATGCACGCCACTACAGACATTGCTGCTATCTAATCACCCCTCAGCTCTGACATGCCATGTTTAGCCCTTGTATGTAGAACATTGTCAGTACCATTCTCCCATTTCACTAAATGGGAAACCCGGAGCCAAAGACCATATATGATGAAGACCCCAAAGATGCAGCATAGGCATACTATCACCAGTAGAGTACACTGCAATAATGACTGATTCTATACCTCCACTGGACCAATCTAAAGCTATATGTATAGATGTGAATTGTTAAGAGTCCCACAGGATATGCTGAAAGAAGTGGGAGGAGGGTCTGTGGTCATAAAATGGTTTTTATTGAAGTTCTCTTGGGCCTCACCCACCCCCGCTGGGCGCTGCAAACACCAAGCAGCTAGACACCAAGTAGGGGGGGGCCAGACGCTGGGAGAACGCCTGCTACCGGGTAAAGAGCGACTACTGTGTGACCGAACCAGCAGCTCAAGAAGAAATCCTGCCTGATGTGGTCAATAGATCCTGAGCTCCAGAACAGAGGTACCAGTTCAATGTCCAGGTTCCTCACTGCACGTGTGGAGGACGGGCCAGCCGCATCGATTGGTACGTGTTAGAGAAACCGGCTGTAAATTAAACCACTGCAGCTCCACTCCACTGCCAGTTTTGGGCATATCAGCTAACACAGACGTTCACCTTCAATCCGCACTTCTTAAAATAAGCGGAAGCTCTCCTTTACAGCACCGTGTTCGAGTTCACACCGAGGATCCTCTGATATTGAGCTCTGGCCCAGCATGCACACAGACTCCTGTGTTTTCAGACACGCGTACGCAGGTGCGGACTCAGACATGCCGGCCGCCACAGACAAACACTCCGAACTGCCCCGCAAAACACGAACCCGGACAGGAATGTTATGAATGTTTTGCGCCTTATGTTTAAGTTGCTCTTTCTCCCATGACTTGATGGAGAGTATACTAACCATTCTACTCCATTAAGTGCGTACACACACACACACCCCCCAATAGAAACGGCTCTTCCTACCCCCTACGTCACCGCCCGGGTAATCCCGTTATCTCGTTCATTGGTCTCACTGCAGGATGAGTAATCACGTTACTGCTGCACGTGACTCCCAACTCAGATGTACATAAAAAGAGGGCACTCACTGTAAGAGAGGAAACTGAGACTAGGCTGCTTTTCCTCCTGCACTGATACAGAGTAGCAATAATGACGGACGCAGCCAACCACTAAATAGAAGAATCCGGAGCCTACAGGCCACTTCCCAACCTGGCAAGACGGCCACCAGTCACATTTTTGTCCAATACTTCATTACATTTGTTTTACTTGTACTACTAGTGCCAGTACTACAACTGCCACTATAGAGAGTAATAGAAGCTGACGTGCTTCTCGTCATGCGATTCATATCCCTGTCGCTCCACCCCCCATTCTCTTGGCAAATCACATGATGGTGTGCATAAAAGCTGTATGCTGATTGGTGGAGTGATATATGCTCCCGCAGTGCCGATAACAGCCCATGGGGATGTGACAGGCAGTCTGTATGCCTCCAACACAGGCACTGAGCCCTGAGACGACAGCTGACTGATACACTGCGCAGTCTTACCGCGCTTCACTCCTGGCTTTGAATGCCTGGCACGACCAAATGCCTAAAAGATGTCATGGAAAGTGCCAGAAGAAAGCAGAAGCAGGGGATTCCAGGCTTCTACGGCCGGTTACCGAAGCGTCAGATGGACGAGCGTCTGTGGCCTTAACGCGGAAACAAGTTCTCCAGCATCTCACCAAGAACGTCGCCCTGCATCTCTCTTCCTATAGGTAGGTGATTCATCCCACTGCGGGTTAATCAATAGCCCAGGATTTACAAACATGCAAACCTCCCCCCACAAATAAACAGTACAGTAATGTAACAACAATAAAAAAAGATACTCAGTTAACCCTTTTAATATTGGACAAGTTAAACATAAGCCCTTTCATAATGAAGTCACAGAGTTCACATTGAGATCATTGAATTTCTCTGGAAATGTAACAACGGATCAACAGAAGCCTGTGCACGGTTCAGTGCCCCCCAAAAGGTCAGCATGAACAGGGCAAACACGCCCCGCCCCTCCCCTCCCCTCCCCTCACCCTACAATGTCTATGGAGACAGGAGGTCTGCTCTCTGTGTATGTAAAAGGTTATTATATAACCACACACGTCGCAGGGTTTGCTCTGTAGGCCGGGCTACACCAGCGCTGGGAGCCGGTCACTGGTGAAGGGGGCGTCTAGTCTGCATTCCAGGGAGTGAAGCGAATCGCCCTGCCCTGGGCCCGCCCCCGATAACCTTCCCCTGCACACTCTCACACCATCAGCAGGGGGACGGCATAGGAAGTGACTCTCGCAGATGCCGGGAGTGTTCATTTCATTAAAAGCTGTTCACTCCCCGGCCGAAATGCGCCACTGAAACTAAATTATACAGTTTATTGCAATATAACTGGAAGCAAAACCGACTTCTGGATGGATCACGGCGTGAATCTGCAACCTTTATATGTATTAATCCCCTTTATCAATATTAATCCCCTTTATCCGTCGCCACACTCTAAACTAATTACCGCACACATTCCCGCGGTGTCCAACTGGCGACTTACAGCTGCAAACTGCTGCACCCCAAGTGCCCGTTACTGCAGTGAGCTTCTTAAGGTGGCATTCCAACAGGCGGCAAAATCCCGAGTGCCAGTTGCACCCCGTGGTCGCAAGACAGACATTTTTTCATGCAAATTAAGCAACATGCTAAACTCCTGTGGGGCTTATGGGTCATTCATGCAATGCCTTGCTGTGCCTGGGGGGGGGGGGTACAATGCCAGGCATCACTGGGGAGGCCCAGTGACCTACAGTGACCACGAGGTCCTGCTTACTAACAGCCATACTCATAGTAACTGCAATGGCTTTATCCGGTATGGAACAGGGCAGTGAAAAAACAGTAGCGGGAGCTTGCTGACTGGAGAGCAGCGGTAATGATATTAAATAAGACATTACAACCCTGGGGCAGTGTGCACTGCATATCACATTAAGGATCACAGTGAGTCGCAGCAAGGCTCACAGAGGGGGTTGCAGTGAAGAGCGCAAGAAGGCCTGCAGTGCAGTGAGGATGGCAAAGAGGCCCGCAACAAGGATCACAGTGAGCATTGCAGTGAGGCTCACAGTGAGCTTTGCCGTGAAGGCTGCAGTGTGGATCACAATGAGCCCCGCAGTGATCATTGCAGCGAAGATCACAATGAGCCCCTCAGTGAGCATTGCAGTGAGGTCTCTGCCTGGGCTCCAGCCTGAAAGATGGAGACAGTGGGACTACTAGCCCATACTTGGCAAGCATGCTGAGACCCGCCTGTCCTGCGCTTAACACCCCACAGAGCCTCCGTAGAATCAGGCCTCCAGCTACATCCTGACCCCCCATGACCCCAGCCCCCCCAGCCATTAATTGCCTGAATCACACCACTCCCCTCCAAAGAAGCATTTTCCACCACCGGGGGCTTGGTGAGAAGCTTCATTCAGCCGGCGGCTCAGACGAGGTGACATGCGTCTGCCGTGTCGCATGAAATACCGCCGACGGTCTGAAAGCCACCTTCACTGTCGGGCAGCTGCGGCCAGGAGATCAATCTATCGGGGTGGGGGCCTACAAGGGGGGGGGGGGGGCACCGAGGCCAAATGGCTTTTCCACCCCGTTCTGTTTACATTCCTCTAACTCTCATTCTTGGAGAGGAGAGGGAAAAAAAAAGGGAGAAGGGGTGGGGTGGTGGGTCTGAAAGCCCCAAAGACAATGAAGGCAGCTTGGAGAAAAGGACTTCACGTGTCAGCACGAGGAGTCAAAGTAAACAGATCCGCTGGCTGGTCATCGGCAGCTCCGCTTAGCCAAACACACGGACCATGTTCCTGCGACTGCACCCCTTTCACCCGGACGGCACATTCCTCAGAGAGAAACGACAAACTTCCACACACGCACACGCACACAAAACAGGGTTCACACAAGTGGAAAGCAGCATAGTGAATTTTCATTGCCGTGTCGCTCTAGAAATGCACATAAAGCTTGGAAACATCTAATGAGAATCTGCATTCTGCTGTCTAGTTCCCGATGCCAGAGAGCTGCACAGCTCAGCCCCAAACTCAGAAATCTATCAGCTGCTGAAGCACTAAGGAATATATTTCTTTTCAATTTAAAGGGATTTAACAAAATGCTTAATATACCCAAATAATTAATGTATGAACAAAATAACACAAAGAGAAGCCAAAAATCAGATGGGGAAAAAACGAAGGTTCCTCTTCGTCAGCTTAGAGGAAGTATGGTCAGTTGTTCACAGGGTCCTGTTTGGTTTTGGTCAGCAGAAG